GGTCGGCAAATTATTTTATTCTATAGACAAAGTACATAAGTGCATATGTAACCTATATTTTTCTATTCTTTGTATTTTGTAAGGGGACAAATGTCAATTGGGGCTCGCCCTGTATTTTTCTCCTGCCATTATATTTTTGTTTATTTATTGCGTGTCTCTGTTCATGTATTTACTTGTAAATTGTATTTTTCAGTGGCAAATCTCAATAAACTAAACACATGTGACATGCATTTGACATATAATTATGTGACAAAAAGTATTAATGGCAGCTAGCTAATAATTGTGAGATATGTTGTGGTTGCTCCCGCACAGAGCGACCTACTAATTTTTTCCAGTTTGAAGTTGTTAAATTTATACTTATAACAGTTCTCAATGGAAACAACTAAAATGATTATAGTAGAAGAATGACAGAATGATAAAAAATTCATGTCAATTGAAGTTAATTAAAGAGACTGTGATTACAATCATGTATTTCAAGAAAGATCTAAATATGGTAGAAATTTAAAATTGGTTTGCATTCAATATATAGTTACAAGTAATAAAGTTCATCTTATTGTCTTGCTGTTTTGGAAATGCCTCTCCTGCTTCCGGTACATTTGTCCTGTATTATTTTTTGGACTTTTGTGACACTGTTCTCCTCTTTGCACTGTGACTGAACAAATGCTGTAAATGAAGAAGGATTTATTGCAGTTAGACAATTTCCAAAGCTAATATAATGATTTTAGGCAGCTATTAATCACTAAATGTGTCTCTCAAATTTTTTGCATTATTAATTAACTATCAAACACATGACTAGAAGCTCCTTTATTTTACTTGTGTAGCATCAGAAACTGTTTAATTACTCCAAGAAAAATTCCACGTTCATAGCCAACAGGACTTGGAATTCTTAGGAATTCCAACTCAGAGCACCAATGGCTTCCCTGATATATTGCGAGTCTAAACCTTGCAGGAAATTCCAAGGTATTTTAAGGAATTTCTAGGAATGTTTAAGAATTACTGGGAATTTTAGGAATACTTCAAGGCAACTAAATATCAAATAAATACATGCATTAACTCCCAACCATAGATTAAAGTAGTCAATGAAATTTATTTACATGCTTAACTGAGGTTTACATGTTAATTGTTTGCTATTGTATATTAACATCAACATGTAGTAATATTAGGACAAAATTTATTTTTCTTTTCTTGAAAACTTTGTAAAAATTATCCTCAATTACAGCTATTCATTTCAAATAGTCCAAGTGAATCAGTAAATTTGGTTTGACACAAATTGTGATTAAAATCTGTTGATTGTTTTTCCTGAAATGCAACAACTTGGGTTCTGTTTATGGCAATAAATACTATCAGTCAAAGAATATTCTTGAAAGGAATCATTTCATTTGGGATGATGATAATAATGAGATTTTATCCTTTCCTCCCTGACTCAGGGTTTGACTTCATTTAATGTGCTTGTAAGTTCTTTGGATAAAACTCTTGTGCGTTAAAATTCAAATGTAAGCCGTCAAGCAGCATCTTCATGCTATGTTGTTTGTTTTTGTTGATTCTGCAAGTTGAAATTGAGAGATTTCTACTCAATTTTGACTGAACACTCTTAGGAGTGAAGGGCTTAATTACAGTTAAATAATTGATTTTTTTATAAAATTAAATTCTTGTTGTAACTGTAATAGTTAATTGCAATGAAGTTATCCCAAACTGCAGACTACGCAGCTAATGCCAAACGCAACTAAAATAATCCTGAAACCTTTATCCTAATGATAGATTTATTTCATTGTAAAGCGTAAGCTTAAGAAACTGTGGCATGCAAGTGACCGATTCGTACCAAATATCGCAATTTGTACTCACCACAAACTTTCAGAATCCGTTGTTTTATAAATGGCCACTCGACTCTTATACCAGCCAGTCGATAACTGTTGTCCCTTCTTTTAACTTCACGGCGCCAAGGACTTGCTTTTCATTTACAACTCTCGCGCTATTCTCGTTTTCCCATTGACCAACGGTAAAACCCATCTTTAGAGATGCCAACAGTCGAGAAAAGAAATAACTTAACGCACGATCGAGCGATCAACGGATGAAAAGTACATTTAAAGATGAGCGCCAAATAGAATTCTATCTCGTCACCACTGCCCCAGGGATCCCATGAGATTGCCTAGCGCATGCGCAACATCAGTGCCTTTTCGCGCGCGATATCAGTATAGCCGTGTTTTTCTCTCCGGTGAGGAAAACGATTCTTTTAGGAAGTTTCTGGGAGGTTCTTTCGTTTCCAAAGTTCTACATCGACACAAGAAGTATCAGAAGCCATGGCTCTGTCAGGGGAACCCGGCCCGGCAGATTTATCCAGCGAAACAAGAGAAAACGATCGAGGAACGACCGAAGTCAACATGGCGACGGTCCTGCAAGGCCTTCAGACGACGCTAGCACAACTCGCCAAGAACTCGGAACTACAGACAGAAGCCATTCAGAATTGGAAGGAGGACATTCTTCTCTGCTCTGACGACGAAGATTCTGAGGATACTCCTGCGATAGATGATAACACGAGTGATAATACGCTAGACATAGCGGCCACTCTCAACAATGTGCTCGACTCGAGCGACAACAGCAAGACGACCTCTGTGAAGAGCCCTGAATCAGGGCCGACTCAGAGCGTTTTGGTAGACAGCCTGACCCAGGCGTTTACCACATCTAAAGTCACCTCCCCTGCCATTGAAGGCAAAATTGCCGAATTAATCGATAATATGCTTATCGGGGGATTATCGGCCGAAACGGTCAAGGAAAGAGTGGAGAAACATCCACCGCCAGAAAACTGCAAATTTCTGGCAGTAACAATGGTGAATGAAGAAATCTGGGACTTGTTGCCCAGAAAAAGCCGAGCTGTGGATCTGGCTTTTCAACGGGTTCAAGAACCCTTGTTACAAGGAATATCGGCCCTGACCAAATTGGCGGGCAAATTGGTAAAAGACATCAATGATGGCAAAACGCCAGACACGCGGCAGATGCTAGATCATGTGATGGATAGCGTCGCCATGCTCGGAAACACAAATTGGAAGCTCAACATGAAGCGACGAGAATTGATTAAGCCTGAGCTTAATCCCCCATACACACGTTTATGTAAAGAGGATATAACTATGTCCACAAAATTGTTTGGAGACGATCTCTCCAAACATCTGAAAGATATGTCTGAAGCTAAAAAAGCTGGCCAGCAGATGCAAAAGCCTTATTCCAACAGCTCAAACCGGGGTGCAGTGCACTCTCAAAAAAGGCATTTTAACAGATTCAAGCCTTACCATTATGACCGGACACGAGGCTCTGGCAATAAATCAACCAACCGCCAGTCTTTTTTGGGGCAAGGCCGCCCATCAACACCGTTCCGGAAAAAGCAATCAGCCAGCAACACCAACAACAAAAATTAGTACCATCCAGTTGTGAGAAGGTAGGAAAACATGAAAGTTTCTATCACACTTGCTTGGACAAATATCGTAGGATGGTTAATAATTTTAGAGCAGGCCAACTAAGGAAACATGTGTCTGCTTGGGAGTCACTGACTAGTGACCCCTTTATACTTGATGCAATAAAGCATTACCACATTGAGTTTGAGTAGGCCACAGGTTAGCCCATGGCCTTAACAGCATGGCTTTAAGGCCATACAGCCTACCCCACGTTCTGTCCACACCTGTTGGCTCATCCCCGGTGTAAAAACCCCTGAAGCTCACGAGTGACGTAAAGCAAAGACAACAAAACATCATAAACAATAGTGCGCTGCAAAACAATACCTCATGAAACAAAGAAAATCTCGTCAGATTTTTATACACCGAGGATGACCCCACAAATTCCAGTTCTACTTAACAAGCAGATTCCATGTTGCCATTTGCCTGTTCAGTAATAGATCACAAATGACGTCAAAATGTGGTTGGAGCAAAGAAGTGGCACTGATGTTGTAACCGCATTTTTATTGGGCAGACCCACAGCAATATGGAATCTCTTTGTTTTATGTGATTAAAATAAGAAAAATGCTGTTAATGGTGATATCATATAATTATGTATCTGTCCTCCTATAGATGGTAAGTGAGAACCTATCAAACTATGTGTTGGATTCAGCTTAGCAATAAAAAGAAAAGAAGAATAAAGTGTGGATTTTGGTTCCATGGTCAGACACTCGGCCATTGAGCTGTCTTTCTTCAGATCAAAATACATTTTATTTGTCAAACACTTTGATTCTGACAGCATTTTTAACTCAGAAATTTGAAAATCATATGACTAGGTAAAAAGGTAAAGCATGCCTAAGAGCAAAGTGGCCCATTTAGTCAGAGTTCATCTCATTTTCCTCAGCATGAAGTGACCAGGAGTAAACTCCCCACCCCCCCCTCCCTCACTCTTGGATTAGCCTGCAGTGCAGGCATCTCATTAGGGTGAGTTAACATTTATAAGCTCATGATCGTTTATTGGAATGCCATGTTTGATTTGGAGTCAGAGTGGATGATGGGGCCAGGGGACAGGAGAAGGATGAGAAGAATCCCCAACCCCACCCCAGCCACAAATACAAATTTCTTTCTTTTCCCAGTCTTCCATCAAAGATGGTGGCCATTTTTCACTACAAAAATACTGAGCACTCGCTCAACCAAATTATGGGTGCTCTGCAGGTAACCCCTGGATGGGATACCACTCCATTGCAAAGTAACCCCCCAGTTTCTCATCAGGTTTTTCTGACAATTTGCTGCTACCCATTTGAACTCTTTGGCAGAGAGAGGCATGGTGAAAGTTAAAGGGGTTTGCCCAACAACACAACACAATGACTCAGCCAGGTCTCAAACCCAGACCCCCTCAATTCAGATTCCAGCTCAGTCACCATCAGGCCACTTTATCTGCCACTAAAATCAGTTTAGATTAAAGGTGGTTTACATTTCTTTGATTTAGAAGAAGATCTGTCTAAAGTTTTTGCCAAGCATGAAGTAAAACCAGTTAAAAATAAACCAGTGGCAGTTTCTCAGCTCAGCAGACAACTGGAGGAATCCCATGGTAAACCACATAATCCATTCCTGGAGTACTCCACATTTAAAAGAGAGGTGAGAGGAAATTTAACCCTTATATTAACACAATGGCTGTTAGTGCACAATCTCTATGCTTTTGTTTTTTTTTCTCTGATCTCTTAGGCAAAAAAAAAAAAATGGAAAAAGGATATCAACATTGTTTCAACATCCTTAAACCATGGTACTCTGGTTTAAGGATTTTTTATGTTTTGTATTTTTGTATTTATTTTTCCTCCATTTCAACAAATCAGAGTCTAATGAATAATTACAAGTACATGTAAGATAAGAGAATGGAGAAGGGCATAATATAGCAAGCTAATTGGATGCACCTTACTTTAAATTACATTTTTTCATACAGTAAAAGGAAGTTATACAAATATAAGAGAGGGAATAGTATCACGCCTTAAACAACAAAATTAATAAGTAAATAAAACATGGTCAGAGAAAGACATTAATCAGCACGGAGAAAGGTAATGTAAAGAAAGTACTGAAATTACTGAGGAAGGTAATGGTTGGAGGATTTAATCAATGTAACTGGGGAATTACAATTGGTAGGTTCTCACCACCAGATTAGATCACCCCTGATGAAGGCACTTAAGACAGGAGTGTCAAAATGTTGGGTCTATGAATTGTAATTCAGCCAAACCATGTCTGATTGTCCACCTGGTTGCCTTGTGAACTTGAAACAACACTGTTTTGAAATATTAACTTCTAACTAATGGAGTGTGAGGGCCACACTGAGGAATATTGGCAATACGGTCCAAGTGCAGTGAGGTCCATATAAAAATGACTGAGGGACAATATTCCTAAGTATGGCCTCAAGCAAGCGAGGTTAGTAAGCATCATTGGTTTGTTATGTGGCACTCTGAACAAACTTGATGTTGAATTTGAATTTCAAACAAAAATACAAAGCTTATGACCATTTTCTGTGGAGAATGATGTGGATGCCAGTGGCCTTTTTTTTTTCGGGGGAGGGATCGGAGTTTACTTAAATGTGCAAACTGGTTCTGAATTACAGTTGATCTTATGGTAATGTTGCAAATTATTTTGAAAGCAAACCATTACAGTACTGTGTAGAAGCAGTTGAAAAAAAAAGAAGAGTTTACCAGAAACGTTTAACAAACATTTGTAATGATAAGTTTGATTATACCTCACAGAAGTCTTTTCCCCCCTAGGCTTTCCAAGGAAGTACAAAAAAGCTCAAGATATTTTTAACAATGCTACCAGAGGTATTCATGGTCAATAACCTCAGTTTATGTTATGCAATGAAGACTGACGCATATTTAACAGTTTGATATAAAGTAACTAGTTTATTAACCATTCAATTCCTAACTGAGGATTATTAATTTTCCCCTCTAGCTGCTTCACATTTCCTTGTAAATTGGTTAGGGGAATTTGATGTTTGATCAAGATAACAACCTCTACCTGATAAGTTTCAATAATATCTTTAACTGTTTGTTGAATAATGCATGAATATTATCGGGATAAATTACATGTTTATCACTTGTGTGGGTTAAAAGAATCTGTACATTCACTGGTTCACTAAGATTTTATGGCCATGATCTGATGGGTCCTCAGTGTTAAGTGTCACCTGAGATAAGTTGGGGTTTGAACTGAGTCAAGAAATGAGTGATCATTGCCAGAACTGACTTGATATTTTATTTTATGCTTGATTCTGCAGGAGGAAAGAGCCAGGCCAATGATTGTCACAGTCTCAGGTATAGAAAGAAAAAACATACACAATTAGTGGTAAATTTTTTAACT